GGAGTCGACGGAGGGGGTTAAAAGTGGGGGGAGTTAAAAAAAATCAATTATATTTTGTTTTAAAATATATTAAGATAATATTTTTTATTTTAAAAATTTTATTTAAAATATTAAAAAATTGAGATAATTTATGAACATGAAAAAATTTAATTTAAAATTAAAAGATTTAAAAATACGGTTGTACTGTAGCACCACACAACAGCAGCGAAGAGGGATGATGCTCTCTGCGCTGTGAAATCTGAGGTGATGTGATTTAACGTTAAATACTGAAGGAGAGAATACAATAAAAGAACAGCGAATTGACAGGCCGACTTCTATCCCTATCCAGCTTGTCACAAGTATTGATTTTTTTCTCGCGAAAACAAGAACACGGACACTAGTAAGGTACTGATTGGATGTTTTGAAATAAAGTTCAAAACTGGTTGATTTACAAACGAGCAAAGAGACGATGGAGTCAATCCTTTTGATTCTTGGACCCAACACCAACGGGTTATTACGTTTATTATTTTTCAAAATATTTTTTATATTAAAATAATATTTTTTTTATTTTAAAAAAAATTATTTTTAAAATCAACAAATTAAAAAAAATTAAAATACATAAAAAAATTATTTTTTAACAAAAAATTTTAAATTTTAAAAACATATAATTTACACCATATTTTCAAATAATTTATTAACATTAATGACTTCATGTATTTTTAAGACTACATTGTGTTAACAATTATTCTTTGAATTATTTTTTATTTTAAAATATATTAAAATAATATATTTATATTTTTAAAAAATTATTTTTGTTATTAATATATTAAAATAACTTTAAAATATCAAAAATATATTAATTTAAAATAAAAATAAAAATAAAAATTATTTTTTTCAGAAACACTTATTAAACAAGATGTCAAATACATCCTTGGAGGGCACGGTGATATCCTTCTTGCTAAGTAGACACAGTTTGTTTTTATTTTTATGTTTATTTTAGTGTTTTAATATTATTTTAATTTATATATATTGAAAATAAAAATTTTATTTTGATATATTTTTAAATAAATTTTATGTTTTAAAAGTATTTCTTCAGCTCTTCGTTTGCTAGATTATTAAAATTCAGT